GGTCATTTCCTCCTCATGATGAAACAGCCAGGAGCAAAACTGTGTATAAACCCAAGCCACAGGGGACTTTCTAGTCACCTGATCCAACAAGGTCAAGAGCAAGTCATTTTTAAAAAATTGAAAAACAAAAACCTTTTATTCCCACAAGCTGTTAATCATACAATCATACAGCACAGAAGGAGGCCATTTGGCCCATCGTGTCTGTGCCGGCTCTTTGAAAAGAGTTACCCAAATCAATCCCATTCCCCTGCTCTTTCCTGATAGCCCCACAAACTTGTCCTACTCAAATAATTATCTACTTCTCTCTTAAAAGTTGTTATCGAATCGGCTTGCAACACCCTTTCAGGCAACGCATTCCAGATCGAAAAACTCGCTGGTTGAAAAATATTCTCCTCACCTCTGTTTCTTTTTACAACAATTTTAAATTGGTGTCCGCAGGTTACCGACCCACACACTAGCGGAAATAATTTCTCCTTATTCATGCTATCGAATTCCCTCATCATTTTGAAAACTCCTTTAAGTCTCCTCTTAACCTTCTGTGCTCCAAGGAGAATAATCCTAGCTTCTCTAGCCTCTCCTGATAGCTGAAGTTCCTCATTCCTGGTACCATCCTGGTAAATCTCCTTTGCAAGCTTTCGAATGCCTTGACAGCCTTCCAAATGTGTGATGCCCAGAAATGAATATAGTACTCTAGCTGAGGTCGAACTCGTGTTTTATAAAGGTTCATCAAGAGTCCTGTAGCTCAGTGGTTAGAGCACTCGCTTTGCAAGCGAGAGACCTGAGTTCAATTCCAGGCAGAGGGCGAAACCTTGGGCAAGTTTCCTTACTCCACACAGAGCCTAATAATAATCCTCCAAAACCAAAAACAATAATAAATTGGTCATTTTCAATCTACGACTGTTTGTGGGACATTGCTGTGCGCAATTGGCTGCCGCGTTCGCCCACAAATATACAGTCAATTCACTTTACAGTGTGTTCTGTGAAGCGCTTTGGGACGTCCTCCCGACGTGAAAAGCGCTATATCAAATGCAAGGATTATTATTATTATTATTATTATTATTATTATCATAACTTCCTGACTGTTGTATTCTGTGGCCCTACTTATAAAGCCTAGAATCCCGTATTCTTTTTTATCTGTCCTGCTGCCTTCAAAGATTTGCTTATATGAACCCCCAGGTCTCTCTGTTCCTTCACCCCCTTTAAGATTCTCAATTTAGCTTATATTGCCTCACCTCATTCTTCCTCCCAAAATGAATCACATTGCATTTCTCCACATTAAACTCCATTTGCCACGTGTCTGCCCATTTTACCAGTCAGTATATAGTCCATTTGCAGTCTTCTACTATCCTCCTCACTGTTTATTACTTTTTCCTAGCTTAGTATCATCTGCAAACTTGGAAATTGTATTCCCTATACCCAAGTCCAGGTAATTTATATAGATCAAAAACAGAGGTGGTCCCAATATTGAACCCAGGGGGACACCACTGCACACTTCCCTCCAGTCAGAAAAACAACCGTTCATCACCATTCTCTGCTTTCTGTCTCCCAGCCAGTTCTGTATCCATGCTGCCACTGTCCCTTTAATAGTGTGGCCTTCTATTTTGCTTACAAGTCTCTTATGTGCACTTTATCAAACGCCCTTTGAAAATCCATATAAACTACATCAACTGCACTACCTTCATTCACCCTCTCTGTTACTTCATCAAAAAACTCTATCAGGTTTGTTAGACATGATTTGCCTTTAACAAATCCGTGTTGGCTGTCCTTTATTAACCCATATTTTTCTAAGTGAAAATTTATTTTGTCCTGGATTATAGTCTCTAGAAGTTTCGTCACTACTGATGTTAGGCTGACTGGCCTGTAGATTCTGGGTTTATCCTTCTGCCCCTTTTTGTACAGGGGAGTGACATTTGCAACCCTCCAGTCCACTGGCACCACCCCGGTGTCCAAAGAGGTTTGAAGGATTGTGGTCAGAGCCTCCGTTATTTCCACCCTTACTTCCTTCAGTAACCTAAGATGCATCCCGTACGGATTGGGTGACTTATCTACCTTGAGCACCAACAACATTTTTAGTACCTCCCCTCAATTTATTCTTATCATATCCAATTTCCCTACCCTCTTCTCTGATACTTGAGGCATTGGCTGCATTCTCTTCTTTTGTGAAGACAGATGCAAAGTTCTCATTCATTACATCAGCCATGCCCTCTGCCTCCACAAGAAAATTTCCTCTTTAGTCCCTAATTGAACCCACTCTACCTTTGACTAACCTTGTATTCTTTATATGCTTTTAAAATACCTTAGGGTTCCCTTTTGTTACCTGCTAATCTTTTCTCATACATTTGTTTTGCCCCTTTTATTTCCTTTTTCAGTTCTTCTCTGTACTGTCTATATTCTATTTGATTATCTTCTGTATTTTGGACCTGACATTTATCAAGCCTTCTTTTTCTGTTTTATTTTAATCCCAATTTCCTTATTCATCCAGGGAGGTTTGGATGCCCTA